AGTACATTTTGTACTAAAATCAATTTTGGGTTATAACTTTTTATTTTGAATATTTTCATAATCAAATCCTTGCCATATGAATAAATGACAAAACTTAAAAGTAATATTTGTAATTAAATCATAAGCAAATAGCAAAATTGGAAACAAATGTTTATTACATTTTAACATTTTCCTAAAATCTCTCTCTAATAAATTGAATCTCTCTCCAATATATTTATATAATCATATTTGTTTTTAATTTATATTATTACATAAAACTATAACTTTTTTCCGCACATTTTGCAATTAAAATTTTTAAAAACGGACGTATATAAGTCAATCGATAAAGGAAAAATATATGTAGAACGTCTACATAAGGTAGAAAATTTTAGATAATATTTTAAAACCATTACAAATAGGACTAATATGTTCTCAACTACAAATGAGCATGAAGTTTGATTTCTCAGATATCCAAACTAATAAATTTATGAGAATTTTTGAGAAATACCCCTTTTGGTGTACCCCTTTTTAAAAATACCCCATTTATCAATCCATTTTCAAAAATACCCCTATTTAAATATAAAAAGTTATAAAGTTTTATATAGTTTATAAGGTACTTCTATATAATAACTACTACTGGGAGATTCGATACAAATATTTTAATATTTTTTAAATAGTTTTAAATCGTTTTTATAAGTTTTATAAGGTTTTTAAAAGGTTTTTAAAAGGGTTTATACAGTTTTTATAAGGTTTTTATATGGTTTTTATAATTTATTTTTCCGCTATATATGAAAGTTATATAAAGTTTTATACACATATAAAGGTAATTTGTGTATATATTTATAAGCTTACATACATATTTGGATAAATTTCAATATTTTTAATGGTTTTTTTGATAAAGTTTGAAAATGGGGTATTTTTAAAAAGAGGAATATGAAAAGGGGTATTCTTGAAATTCCAAAAAATATTGTACATAAATATGATTAAACGGGTTAGAGTTTAAATAAATATGATTATATTTTTTACGGGTTGTCTATATTTAATATCTTTTACAGGTTAAGTTAAAATATAATTTTTTTATTTATAACAAAAGTGTTTCGTGGTGTACCGCGGGTTGACCACATATATTTATGTATCTCCTTATAATACAAATTCATAAATTTATATAAATTAAAATAAAATAATAACGTATAAAATTAGACTATATAAACCAACTACGAAAATAACCCATTATATATTAAATTATGGATTCGTGATGTACCATGGAATCAAAATTCTAGTAGTAAAACATTTATCGTTTTAAAGTGAAAATATTTTTAATGAAGAATGTTTCCACGGCCATGAGCATTTTTGTTATTCAACTTATAGAAGTCATACAAAACATAAGATCGTGCTAGACATGCGGATGTTAAAAACATATGCCAAAATTTTAGAATCTGTCACAAAGATCGTGCGTAAACGTCTACTTTAAACACATAAGATTAAGATACATAAAGAAGTATTTTCTAAGAGAACACACTAAGATATATATTTTTTAAGGATTGTATATATCTATTTAAACACATAAGATATATAATGATTCAGTAAGAGAATGTCTGTTAAATAACCAAAAAAAATTAGATGGGATATTATTCATGTCTTTCCCGTAAAACTTTAAAGCTGTTAACGAATCTATAACGTTATGCAAAATAATATTGTACACAATCCGATTAAAGTTCTTTGCATAAGGTTTGTTTCTGTTGCCAACTTAAAGAAGTCAAACAGAACCTAAATCAATCAATCTCGCCCATATTATATTCAAGCTTTTACTTATAGACTCTTAACTTTTGATATGCTTGTGGTTGAAAGAGAGACGAATAGTAGCACTATCATTCACAAAAAAATAAATTCTGAGTATTATGATCAAATTTAATGGACAATCTTCGAGAGATTTTGAGAAACAATAGGAGAGATCATGAACCGAAAACAGAAACAGTTTCTATGATAAGAAGTAACAATTATAAAAATGGAAGAGAGATTACTAACCTCTTGAAATTGCCAAAGATTTCTCCGGTCGTCGCCGTTTAGGTAGAAGCAAGATGGTTGTTGCTTTGTGTTTTAAAGTCTCAATTTACGTTGTGTCATTATAAGGGGAAAAAAGTCTTCTATTAATTTATTCTTCTATAATATATAGTTGCACATATATAAACCATGAAAACTAAAAAATTATGTTTGCTTACGTTTATTTTTTACAGGTAAGCATGGTTAAGCTGGAACTGGGTCGCGGTAGAGGTGGCCCGCGCGATTAATTATAGACCAAAATGGTTCACCAGACAAGAGTATTTCAGTTAGACATTTCATCGAATCCATTGTATCAAAAGCCAAAGCAGCAGCATACATAACAAAAGCCGCTTGCCAGCGGAATACAAGTAATTAGAGCAATGTCAATATATATATGAAACTAAGTACCTTACTACAAGACTAATTGGCGATTTGGTAAGGCTTCTTAGCTATCAATTCGCAAGACTTTGAGGTAAAATTATAAACATTCGAAAACCCGGATTAAATAGGAATTTAAATCAAAGTACGTACCAAGTTATTAGAATATACAGGTTAATCCGAAGTGAATCAATGAATCATATTTTCTTCGATCACTCAATCAAAATGTAATATGAAAAGAGGTACCAAAAGTCCAAAACCAAATGAGCTGTCTAGGAATGATCCTAAAAAATGAAGGTTAAGATTAACCGATTATCATCATTCATCACTCAAACTAGGAAACATAAACCCACTGTTAAGTTGAAGCAAAGCGTATTTTTATTTGGTAGCAAAACCAGCAAGTGTGGTTCTGTTACTGTGAGGATGGTTCCTGCTCCCAGAGGTGCTGGTATTGTTGCTGCTAGGGTTCCTAAGAAAGTTCTTCAGTTTGCTGGTACTGATTTCCTGTCGTGTCGTCAAAGGCTCTTCCTGCAACCAAAGAACTTCATGAGACAGTCTGGTTTTATTTGATACAATACAGATCAACACGATCGTTCCCGCAAACACACAAACCCAATTCATAAAACGAGAAATCCTCGAATTCATCTTGTAAGAACATCTTAGGGCTCTTCACAGAGGATGAACCAAGTTCAGTAACAAAGAAGAGAGAAACGAATCTAACAAACTTTCACAATTTTGCATAATGAAGAAGACGATGAACAACTTGATCTTAAGCTTTAGCAACTTCAGCTCATACCAATCACATCGCTCCACGTATCTTTTCTTCTTTCAACCTATCACTAAGCTCCACGTGTCCTCATATATGTGCTACTAAATTCCTATATCAATTTATTGTCATTATACGAGTATTTCACTACGATGCCATCTGCACTTTCATAGGATGTTGTATCTCGGTAACTTGTACTCTGACTCTTGATTCAAGACCATCAAAGCTTCTGAACTCTAGATGACTACTATAGTCTCAGCCACAAGTCTTCATCTTTAACCATCAATAGTGGAGTGCATATTTACAAGAAAATAGTAAATCAAATGTTCAAAGCAGCTACTAAAGTTATTAACTTACAAAGTTTACACAGAGATAAAGATTGTAGCAGTCAAGCCAAGTCGCTTGAATACACACAAATAAAAGATAGATATAATTTAGAGAGATTCTCTAAATTAACAAAGTAATGGATATATATGATATTAGTTTGTCATACTAGATAGAGTTCGTGAAAACCCTCAATCTCTGTTGAGAAGAAGAAGGTCACTAACCAAAACAGTGCCGAATCGATCAAGTGTAAGTTTGGCATTTCGTGAAACACCCATCACCGATGCTCTTCATGTATATTTCCAAAGTCCTATAGGTGAAAACACACATTGTTTATTCTACCCAATATAGCTAGAATATAAAGCCATATTCACAATAAAGTTTATTATAAGACTCAAATGGCTGATTTTTAAAACGAACAACAGTTATTTTCCCAAAATGGCTGATTTTGTGTATTTGATGAGGAAATGTAAATATTGGGAGATAATATTTTACCTGAAAAACGTAATAGATCCTCTATTTTGTGAGTAACTCATTAATCGTAGAATTTAACAGAAGTGATGTGTTTGACTTTGTAATGATCTTCTCCTCCTTCTGACAGTCTCTTCTTCGATTCACTAGGCATCCATAGTTTCTTTAAAGAATAGATGAATTGCAGCCCATCAGGTAGCTCCTTCAGCTTTGGACAGCTAAAAATATCGAGAGTATGAAGAAGGGGCATGGAGCCTTCTTCTACTATCCACTCTTCCAACTCATTTAGTCCCTTAATTTCAAGCTTTTGCAACTGAGGAAATCCACCGTCCGAGCAAACCATTCTCTTACCAATGAAAGAACTATGATGTAATTTAACATTTTCTAAGTGAGCCAATTTCTCTAGAGTCGACATCGGATCCTCCACCAAACAACAATTCCGTAGAGATATGGTTGTAAGGTGAGAAGGGCAGTGTTGTTCATCAAATAAACTTGGCATATATATTCCCAACTCCAGTTTTTTTAGATGAACGCACTCCAAAACAAACCCTCCTTCATAATTCCTGGAAGAATAATCCCGTATAGTAAGATTTTTCAAGTGTCTCAATTCACTTAGAGACGAAGATAGAGTTTTCATACACTTGTCGTCGCCTGTGAATGACATTGAGAGAGTCTCGAGCCGTGTCATTTGTTGAAGATCCTTCACACTGCTATACTCTGTTGAGAAATTCTTCAACGTCTCCAGGTTGAGTAGATTACCCAATTCCAACTTTGTCTTATAACGCATCTCTAGCGGAACATGGAGGTAAGCTAACTCTCGCATCTCTTTCAATATATTGGGCATGTAAATTAGAATATCATAATCGACACGTAGGTCTAGATAGAGAAGCTGCTTCAAGTTCCGTATAGAAGAAGGTAGATAAGATACCTTTGCCCGATATAAACTCAGATATCTCAAGTGGATAAGCTTCCCAATGCTAGAGGGTAACTTCCCTCCTTTAAAATTCACATGAGAGAGATCTAAAAGCCTCATCAGCTGTAGCCTTGTAAAGCACATACCTGATGCCATCCATTTTGACAAGAGTAATACTTTTCTAATAATCAAGAGAGATCTAAGTTTCGGATTTAGAATCTCCAATTCCCAAAGATATGTTTCATCATCAAGCCGGTGTACTGCGATTCTTCGAGATTTCCAAGGAGATTGGGTGGTCGCAGCCGAGGCACTGTTTTCAACAATGTGAACGAAATTCTCTTCTTTAGCTTTAAGTAGACAAAGATCTCTCATCACATCATGCAGCTGACATGTTTCAAATCTTGAAGTTTTAGAGTCTCTTTCAGAAATAACCATGTTTCTCTTCACCAATTCTTCTATATAGCCATATGCGATCTGTTTAATAGATGCTCCATCGTAATCCCTCGGCCGTCGTATTCCTTCAGCAGCCCAATAATAGGCCAAATTCTTTACACGTATTGCATAATCTTCTGGAAAATGAGAAAGGTAAAGGAAACAATGCTTCAAATAACCAGGCAACTCTTCGAAGCTCAGAGATAATACACTCTCAATAGAATCGTTGTTAGCGCTAGTTCTTCCAACCACGTTATGAGATAATCTTTTCCATTCATCCACTATTTTTCCAGTCTGAGATAACAAACTTGCTAATGCTTTGACAGCCAACGGCAGTCCTTTACATTGTTTGACCATTTCCTTACCCAACTTCTCATAAACCTTATATTCTGCACAACATCATAAACTAAGTAAATAGTACCTCATTTTGACCATAAAAAAAAATATACAGTTCAATAGGATGTGATAACTATATACTACAATCAATTATCTCATTGTGATCCAAAATGGGAAAAAAAATCCCATCCTTTGAATGCTTACCAGAATCATCTTTCCTTGGCATTGCTTTTCTTTCGAAAAGTGTCCAACTATCTTGATCGGTAAGGAAATCTGGTTTAAATTTGACATGTATTGCGTCATGCATTGCGACACGATCATTTCGAGACGTAAGTAGCACCTTCCAACCTGCACAATATTTTTTTACTCAACCAAACATAAAGATCGCTTAACGAGTATAAGTGGTTTTCCTTTTTTTTTTTTATGAAGTAGAACTAGTGGTTACCTTGTTTGGGTGGAAAAATTTGCTTGATTTTGTCCCAATCTTCTATTCTCCATATGTCATCAAAGACAATTAATGATTTAGATGTTGCCAACAATTGAAAGAGTTCATCCTGAAGTTCAGCTTCATCCATCTTTAAGATTTCATCTTTCCTTTCTTTAGATGTGAGATTATTCAGTATCGTTTGCCACACATATTTCTGAGTAAACTCCTTTGAGACACACACCCATGCGAGTCTTTCAAACTGATATTTTACATCCTCATGATTAAAAACATGTCTAGCAATGGTTGTTTTACCAAGACCACCCATCCCGGTAACAGAAACAATTTGAATGTCTTCTTTCTCAACTAAATATTCAACCAATGTCTTAACATTTGCCTCCAATCCCACAAAATCGCCTTCATGGTCATTAGGAAATGTTCGAGGCTGTGGAATATACCCTCCATCAGCAAAAGTCTGCACAATTATTTGCTGTACACCAAAATCCTTCATTTCATTTATCACCTTGGAGATCCTCTTACTTATGCCTCCCATATCTAATGTGATTTTCCTCCGATCTGGAATAACGAGAGCAAGTCTTGTGATACTCTTCCTGATTCCACTTGTTTCTCTGAGTTTTTGCTTTAGAAGAAATGTTTCGATAATATCCTCTCCATCATATACAATTTCCTTGATATCTTCAATACATTTTTTCACCGTTGCACTTGTATGTTTCTTTGCATCTGCGTCTTTTAGGAAAGAGCGTAACAAGTTTAGATCTCCTTTTAGTTCAGTAACTTGATCTTGGACTCCTTGAAGTCTCTCGCATTCTTGACTTAGTAGGTTCCAAAGCTTTTCTATACCAAAGGACATAAGTTCCCCAGCCATAGTTTGCTCCTGCATGCGTAAGCAATACGGAAATAAGAACGAAGCTACATACTATTGATGAACAACATGCATAATCACCAAGAGTAATAAAAACAAAGCATTAAGAAATTCATATTTTAGTTTGATCTTGGGTAACTCGTATAGACATTCACGCATTCAATATGCACATTAAAAAACAAATAAATATATAGTTAATACATTTATCGTTATTCAACTTATATAAGTCATACAAAACATAAGATAACTATCTTTAACCCTATTCAAGTTCTCTGATGCAATTACATAGACAAATAATAGTACCGATCCAGAACTTTAGATCTCACTGGTAGACAAAGAAATTTGCTAAAGAATAAAAGATAAAAATTACTAAACCTCTTGATGGCGTCAATGAACTTTAGATCTCCTCTTGGTCGCTCTTTAGGAAAATGAGAGATGCTTAATGCTGCAAGACATTGTTGACTCTTCTCAGATAAGAATCATAACAACTGTTTTTTTTTTGGAAGTGCCTAAACGACAACTAATTCCATCCACCCATTTTTTTTTTCCTTATCTTTAATTATTGCACAGTTCAGAGTGTATGTGGTCACCAAAACATACAAACAGTACAAAGAAAGTTTCTAGAAGGAGAAACAAATTATTGTTTGTGTGACTGAGTGAGAGCATCTTCACCTGTTCAATTATTTAGCAGCCATCCTTTTTTTTATTTTTTTATTACTTTAAATTTTCTAGAGTTGTGAATATGGTTAAAATAAGTATACAGCAGAGATAGCTAAATAATGAAAGATGAGATGTAGATACTTAATAAAATATTCAATTAGGTACATAGAGGGTAGATTCCCATTTTTTAATATGAATAAATTATATGTGTTTCATGATAAAATTTATTTTTTTAGTTTTTGAATAATTATTTATGGCTTTTCTTTATTAATCATGTTCATTTTTTATATTTTTTCAGAACTATAGTTTTGCTTTTTTATACCGCTTATCATTGTATATTACATTTATTTTAGTAATTGTTTTGTTGTCGAGTAATTTTTTGTTTTACCATTGTCGTATCTACTAATCAACCAATCATAAGCCTCTTATAAATGCAATCATATTTTTAATTGCTAAAACAATCATTTAAAACACCTAGTAACGTTTGAAACCGTAACCGTATGCTCAAAAGAGTAAATTGTAGTTAAGATTTAAGAGTACCAATGAGCTTGTCCAAGTGAAATGAGAAAAAAAGTCACCAATAATCAAACATAGTTTGCTACGGAATAAAAATAAAGAAAAATGACTCGAGAGACTTTTGAAGATTCCTCCTGAGTCCTGAGGAAGACTTTTCAGCTTTGGATAAGTTACTCAAGAAGAGACTTTGGTCGACAGCTTTTAATTTTCTCTTCTATTTTTAATTAATTACATTCCAAATTGTCCGACCAAAAGAAAAAACAATTGTGACACTGATTCCAATTTCTTTGAAATTTCTCATTATCTTTATGATTGTGACACTTTCTTCAAAACAATTGCCATATTTTCTTTAGCCATTGTGATCTGTCATAGTGCCCGAGATAAGTTTGTGCTTGTGGCTAAAATCTGTGAAGTATTCAACGATACGAAACACTCAAAAGAAAAAAGCAAGAAATCCAATGAGCTATGTGAAGGTCTGATCACAACGAGTGTCGAGACATATAAAAAGAAGCAAACGTTGATATGAACCACAATGTATATATTTGGTCTCGGGCCTGAGGGGATGTATGGATTTCGGCCCAAAACCTCTTTGATTATTCAAAAAAAAAAAAAAAAAAAAAACCTCTAAATTCATAAATCCATTTTGAAAACATACATAAAACATGAGGATAAATTTTTTTACCTTGTTCATAGTCTGTAGTTGTTGTGACCCTCATTCGTAGGTTCGGAATTTGACAGAAGGAATGTGTTTGACTTTGTAATAATCTTCTCCTCCTACCGCCAATCTCTCTACCCATTCCTTGTCCATACAGAGTTCCTTTAAGGAATAGATGAATCGCAGCCCATCGGGAAGCTCCTTCAACTTCTGACAATTCCAGATATAGAGAGTATGAAGAAGAGGCATGGAGCCTTCTTCTACTATCCATTCTTCCCATTCCTTTAGTTCCCATAAGATAAGCTTATGCAACTGAGGAAATCCGTTACTCGAGCAAACCATTCTCCTCCCAGAGAAAGATTGATGTGACAAATAGAGCTTATTTAAGTGAAGCATCTTCTCTAGAATCGGCATAGGGTCCTCCTCCAAACCACAATAATTTAGCTCTAAGGTCGTAAGGTTAGAAGGAAATGATGGTTCTTTAGGAAACCTTGGCATATATACATACAATATCAACTGTTTGAGATGAAGAAAATCCAATAACACTCCTTCTTCATTTGTCCTCTGACGCTCATAATCATCTATTTTGAGATTTTCTATGTGTTCCAGTCCACTTATTGATGCAACTAGAGTTTCTATACTCGTCTTACCCATTAAAAGAATGCTGAGAATCCTCAACCTGGCCATACCTCGAAGATCCTCTGAGCTGCTACACCTTGTTGAAAAACTTTCCAAGGTCTCCAAGTTTACTAGTTTACCTAGTTCCAACTTTGTCTTCCAATTCTTAGCCCGTGGTAAAGCAAGGTATCTCAATTCCTTCATTCCCGTCAAGAAATTTGGCACGAATAAACATCTCTCGTAGATAAGTTCTACATCTAAATTTAGATAGATAAGCAACATTAGGTTTCCTAGAGAAGAAGGTAGATGCAATACCTCAGCCCTCTCTAAGCTCAAGTATCTTAAGTGGATGAGTTTCCCAATGCCAGAAGGTAACTTTCCTCCCTTAAACCTTGCTCTAGAGAGATCTAACACCCTCAACAGTTCTAACCTTCCAAAGCTTGAACCTGATAGCATCATACTTTTTCTCTCATAGTCCATGACAATCAAGAGAGATCGAATTTTAGAATTATTTACATCTTCATCAACATGTAGCGTAATAGGATTCTGCGAGACAAATCTGCGAGATGTGCAAGAAGATTCATAGCTTGTGGTCGGGGAGCGGGTATTGGAAATTTGTAGGAATTTCTCTTCTTTGGCTTTAAACAAACAAACTTCTCTCATCATGTCATGCAAATGACATGTTTCAAATCTCAAAGTCTTAACGTCTTTCCCGGAAATAACAATATTTCTCCTCACTAACTCCTCTATGTAGTATTCTCCAACATCGCGGATAGTCTCTCCATTGTAATGCCTTGGTTTTGGAATTCCTTCTGCAGCCCAGTAGTACGACAATTTCTCCACACTTATTGGATAATCTTCTGGAAAATGGGATAAGTAGAGGAAACAATACTTCAAATGACTAGGCAACTCTTCAAAGCTCATAGACAATACATGGTAAACTGAACTGTTGTTGTCTTCATCGGAATAGGCTCCTCCCACGATATGAGATCTAACATTCTCTGAAATTCTTTTCCAATCTTTCCATGTGTATTTTGCAGCTAGGAAACCTCCTAACACTTTGATAGCTAAAGGCAATCCCCCACAATGTTTGATCATTTGCTTACCCATCTCTTCCATTTCCACATCAATTTTAAATTCTGCACGATGTTAAAGTAATATGCATTTAGGCTATATATAAAGCCAAGAATATTGAGAGATATATATAAAGCCAAGAGATTGTGTAACTGGACGTAATAGAGAGATATTATAGCTGGTGTAAAAATGGGACAGAAAGATACAATTATGCGTTAGAGAACTACTAAAAATTATGTATTTGATATAAAATACATAGCTGATAAATGCTTACCGGGTGCATCTTTCATAGGATGTGCTATCCTTTGAAAAAGTGTCCAACTATCTCCATCATTTAGGCAATCTGGTCTAAAATTGATATATGTTGTATCTCCACGCACGGCGATGCTCTCATTTCTAGACGTCAACAACATCTTGCAGCCTGCATAGTATTTCTCCTTAGTAGTCCTTCTCATAATAATGAAAAACAAAGAGTTTATGACTTCTTTTACTAAATAAAGCCTAGTGTGTACGAAGAGTCAGTCACCTTTATTCGATGGGTGAAATATTGGCTTGATTAAGTTCCAATCTTCCTCTTTCCATATGTCATCAAGGACAATTAATGACTTTGATGTTTCCAACAATCTAAATAGTTCACCTTGTAGTGTAGTTTCCGTCATCTCCAATATTTTCTTTTCTTCTTCTTCGGTTGTGAGATTCTCCAAAATCTTTTGCCACACATTTTTTCGTGTAAAATCTTGTGAAACACAAACCCATGCGAGTCCATCAAACTGTTTTTTTACATCCTCATGATTAAAGACTTGTCTAGCAAGGGTGGATTTACCGACACCAGCCATCCCAGTTATAGAAACCACTTGAACATTATCTTCGTTCACAAAATATCCAACTAGTTTCTTTACATTTGCTTCTAACCCCACAAGATCACTTTCGTAGTCCTTAGAAAATGTTTGTCGGGCCGCCTTTTGTCTATCATGTAGAGGTTGCATGTGACTGCCATCAGCAATCATTTGATGTACTCCAAAACTTTGCATAACTTGAATCACTTTGGAGATCCTCTTACTTATGCTTTCAATATCCAACGCAATTTTTCCCCGATCTGGAATAACGCAAGCAAGTCTTCTGATATGCTTCTTGATGTCACTAGTTTTTCTAAATTTTTCTTTCAGAAGAAAGGTTTCGATTATATCCTCCGCATCACAAACAATTCCTTTGATCTCTTCTACACAGTTTCTCACCACTGCACTTGTCTGTTTCCTAGCATCTGCATCTTTCAAAAATGACTTTAACATGTTTAGATCACCTTTTAGTTCAGTAACTTGATCTTCAACTCCCTGAAATTTTTCATATTCCTGGCTTAGTAAGTCCCAAAGCTTCTGTATTCCAAACGAGGCAAGTTCAGTAGCCATTACGTCTCCTCCTTCACAGCAGTATAGAAATTAGAATTAGGCTACTATAGACAATTAGACATCACAAGTTCGAAGTGGTACAAAACAAAGAAATACTTAAATTTCATATTATAATTAAACTAATCTTAAAGGATTATGAGGAATTATTTGTTTTACAAGATCAATAGTGGCTAATAGGTTACACTTACAGACTCGAAAACGAAATCATCATAATGTAAGTGTTTATTCTTTGTTGGAGAATTTTATTTCTCTTGTTCAATCGTTAACTGTTACTATTGATTTCCTATTTTAGTTGTTGACTTTGCAAAATATATCACGTCATAAAGTTCACTAACGGAACAAATGAATAGAGCTAAGGTACAATTTTTTTTTTTTTTTGACAACGCTAAAATTCAGTTTAATTAACTATTGAAAATCGTCATTTTGATTAAAAATAAAACTAAAAAATGAGAGTTGAACTTCTTACGTTAGGAGAAACCTATAGATACGCCAATGTTGAGATAAAGAAACATTGTTCTAATGACAGTGAGTCAGTGAACCAACTTAGTCATTCAACATAGAATTTGAGCCCAAAAAAAAATATAATCTGTTAGCCAACTTAGGGATGCAACTTATTTGACACTAGAATCTGATGACCTAACGAGCAATTACAACGACTGATCGCTGAATAAAATAACGACTAAAAATTAGTACAAGGATCCAGAATAGTTACAAAGATGTTAGTGTCAGTCAATACTCGAGAAATTGAAAGAGGAAAAACATAAAAACAAATTTAAATTTGCCATTGAAGAAGAATTAAAACACAAAAATGACTAACCTCTTGAGTCTTGAAGGCGGCAGGCAAGGAACTCTCCCGTCCTTGCCCTCTATGAAGAAGAAGAAGAAGAAAAAAAAAAAAAAAAAAAAAAAAAAAGAAAAGAAGAAGAAGAAGAAGAAAGATGCTTTTGCAGTTTAGCTATTAAAAACTCTGAAATTAAGCACAATAACAATTAAATAAGCTCGTGATAACAGCTAATCAATCGATATAATTAAATAAAACCATGCACATCACTTTGGTCTTGTTTTTTATTATATATTTTATTTTGCGTTTTTTCATAAAAATTATTTAGCGTTTGGTCGTTTTATTAGATTTGTTTTATGCTAACCGACCTCGGAGAAAAAGTTTAGTAGAGTGAGCTTGCGATTTCCTTTTTTTTTTTGTGTGGTTCTGAGAATCTCATGGATAGTCCAAAGAGCGTATCTCACTTGATACAGAGGGAGTCATTGATTGAGAGCTCTTCGTTCATCGCCGTTGACGGCTCAGAATTTTCGGACTACCGGTGAAAGGTTTCCAATCACTTTGGTTTTCTTTGAAGCGGTTATTGTTATTTGACAACATGGTTTTCCTTCTCTTTGAGGTGTGTTCTAAGAGAATCTTTAAAAACGTAATTTTTTTTGTCAATGTTGGTGGACTGACTGCGTTTATCACTTCATTGATTCCAAAAGCGTCACTTCTTTTGTCGACATTGCTGTTTTACTTTCATGAGTTTTATATTTTTGGTCATGGGACCAATCTTAACTATTTCATTCAATGAAATATATACATTCGTAGCAAAAAAAAAAAATAAGTGGGCTGGTTAAGCTATAATGAAGTGGAAGGAACTATTTTTCCGGGCAAAAATATCTGTAAAAGGGATCATCACCTAAGAGAAGTATTTAGCTCATTACTTGGCACACAAGTTCTCTCTACTTTAGCACCTGTACTTAGCTCATTTCCTATTGATTCTTGATACATATTTCCCTCCATTTTATCAAAAAAATATTATGAAATACAAAAAAAAAACGTATAGTCAACAAATTTAGAAGGTGTAGAAGAAGCTTTGTTCATGTTGTGTAGAATTAAAAATATAGGGCTAGAAAACAAATACAGGAAATTTCAGGGAGCGGTTTTAAAATTTTGTTAGACCAAATCAATTCCGTATATTCGAGCGTTGCTCGTAATACAATTTTAAAATGTTCGGTTTACAAAACAAACCGGAAAATGCACAAACCGTCTCGTGTTTGGTTCCCATATTCGAAATAATTTTAACGGACAAAAAATAAAACTCTGGTTAGAGGGAAAAATCTCGTTTCAAATTTTAAATCCAAACGATTTAACGGAACAAACGAGGGCCTTTTTGTAATTATGTATTAATCAGCCTAATTACTACAAATACAAATCTTTTCTTTACCTTTTCTACGGAATTATTCATCACTTTTATGATTTCTCAAATCACCGACTCAAACAAGCACTGAAGCAAAAGGACCTCTGCGATTTCAGAAATAGAATCAATCGAGCGATGAAGATCGATCAGAGAGTGATGAGAATCTAATCACTGATTGAGATTACAATGATTAATTAGGTAACTATGAATCCTGTTCGTATCGATTTCAATTTTTTTTAATTCATCGCACACTTGGAATAAATATTTTCTGGATTGTTCCAGAACAGAGAGGCGTGTAATTGAATCTGAGATCCGATCGCTTCAAATCTTACAAATTCGTCTGATTACGCACAAATCTTTTAGGTATAAACCCTCTTCTGATTTTTGTTTTTTCTGGGTTTGTGTTGTGGAACTTTGGGTTTTTGTTTTGATTTCGTTGCGGGTAAAAAGATTATGAAGTATTTCAAAGAACTCGTTGCTATGAACTTAGGGTTTTTGTTTTGATTTCGTTGCGGGTAAAAATTTTATGAAGTATTTCGAAGGACTCGTTGCTATGAACTTAGGGTTTTTGTTTATTTATTATTAATTGTTTCTGGTTAATTAATAATAGATTGATGAGAACGTGGCGAGAGAGATTATTAAATCATATAGATCACTTCGTCATCCTAATATAATCTGGTTTAAGTAGGTAAGTTTGTGCAATGTTTATCTATATGGCTTCATGGCAATGTTTTTTTGAATCTAGCCGGAAGGTTGTGTTTTAAAAGTGTCTATTGTTTTCAGGTGGTTTTGACACCAACGCATATCGCCATTGCTATGGAAGATGCTGCTGGCGGTGAGTTATTTGAGCGTCTATGTAGCGATGGAAGATTCAGTGAGGATGATAAGGTGAGTGCTTCTCCTGGTTATTTTAAAGTAATGATGGTGTATACGATAAGTTGATATATAAATGTACTAAGAGTCTAGGATGATCAATTTTTAGAGTTGTACGTGGTCTGAGATTAGTTGAGAAGAGGAAAGAGGAATATGTGTTTGTAAATCGTTTGGAGCAGCTTTCTCGGGTTATGATAGCTTTTTTTGTGTGCACATCTTTGTTTTTTCAGGCAAGATACTTTTTCCAGCAGCTTATATTAGGATTCAGCTATTGCCACGTTATGGTAAGGAATGAAAATGGATGGCTTACACAGATTTACAAAATATTCTGTGGTTTCTCTGTGCGTTCTGTACTCACGTTATTTCCTTTATTGTCTTATCAAATATGCCACAGAGATCTCAAGCTTCAAAATACACTCTTGGATGGAAGATCTGTGATTTTGGTTATTCCAAGGTCTGGCATCTATCCCATAGCACGCAATTGATTTCTTAATTTCTATTTTGTTTCTCGTTCCTTCCATTTGCGAGGGACCTTGTCACTCTCATTTGAGCTGTTTTTCTTCTTTTGTAGTTCTCACTGTTGCACTCTAGGCCCAAATCAATTGTTGGAACTCCTGCATATATTGCACTTGAGTTTCTTTCTCGTAGAGAGTATGATGGCAAGGTAATCTTATTGGTTTGCTAGTAGTGGTATATCTAAGTGTGCTAAGCACCTTGGTAGAGACAAACATCCTCTGTAGTAATATAGCTCTTTCAACTTTTTCTCATGCATAATATTTGATACATTAAGAAATCTTATATAAGTCCCAACTTGGCAGAAATCTGTTGTGGCTTTGGTAGATTTGGGTAGTCATTTACTAAGGGATTTGGAAAGATCTATCTTTTATTATTATCTTGCATTTTCTGTCTCTTGTGTGTATTTGGTCAATGATAATTGTGAGCATTCTAACCCTGAGCCATTCATATAAAAGAACAGGACAGCTTTTTGGAAATGGATTGTATTCCGTATGTTATATCTTGATAGAAGGAAAGACTATGAAATTGTTATGATCTTATTTGTTTGGATTTTGAAGCATCTTCATGGACATCATCAATGGTTTGTACTATAGTTGTTAGGTTTTTAAAAAAAAACTGGTTACATTTGTGTTTGATTTGATGACTTGTTTCTTTGAATCTGTGAAAATCTTGACAATTTTAAGAGCTGTTTGTGATGATTTGTGTATGTTTGTCTTCCTTATCATCATCATGTGTGCCTAATCAAACCCAATGCAATTGTATATGTTGCTCAGTTTCGTAGTTACTTTTTGCTAATTCTTTATAACTCGTACAGTTGTTTAGTGGCTCAGTTACGATCTCTTCTTGTATACTTGCAGAGTTGCAGTGTGTGGCTGAGTGTGTGGTAGAAGTGAAAAAGAGATGATACCTTTAGTGTTCTCTACTTGATGTTTGTGTTATTTTCATTTCAATAGTCAGCAAACCTTGTCTAACTATATTATTGGTTTCCCATAAATTTTACTTTGCTCAAACACATCACAAATGTTTTGTTTTCAGACTAAGGAGCTGCAAAGATTTGGAGGTGACTTGGTATAATCAAGAAAAAGTGAAGCTTTGATGAAGCAAGTGAGGTTACGGTATCACCCTCTATCTCATAAAAAACACAGCCAAAAATCTTCTTACAATCAAAACAAGAAAAACACTAACGCACTAAAACGTAAAACACAACCAAAACTAAAACTTCATAAAACACACGCAAAGAAAATACAAAAATGCAGAAACGAATTCCACAACTTCACCATCACACAAACTCCACGTTCACATAAATTCCACCATAACACAAACTCCACGTTCACATAAACTCCACCATCACACAATCTCGACGTTCACATAACTCCACGTTCACATAACTCCACGTTCACATTAACTCCACGTTCATACAACTTCGCGTTCACATAAACCCCACTACTTCACGTTCACAAGTTCACATAGAGTTTGCTACTTTGATTGTATTTGTGATTGTATTTGGCTCAGTACACTCCAGCCTCTTGGAATTAAGTAAGTCAACTCAGTTTTGAAGAAAACTGGTTCAGAATCATCATCATGTACAGGCGATCCAAATATTCTCTTCTATGCCTACATTTATTTTGCAGATTTCAAATATCTCAAGAGGAACGAGAGCAGAAAAAAATGAACAATGGCTGGTGAACGTGTACTGAGGTATGCATCTCTACCATTTTCTTAAGCTTGTTACTTTCCTCTCTGTTTCAAGTGTGGATGAACAAAACGTTTGTATTTTATTTGATCTATGTTTTCTGTTTGTGTGACTTACTAATAGATGTCATTGATTTCAAGAGAAATAGATAGCGTGAATTAGTGAAGATGAAGCTTTGCTAGTACTAGTAGCTTCCAACAAAGCCTTACATGTCAATATTATGTAAAACGTCGACACTCGACAGGGAGGATTCTGTAAATTTGTTATCTTGGGTTTCATGATCTTTTAAGTATATATATTTATAGCTTGTATTACCTTATTTCTACTTTAAACCAGCTTTTCAATAAGAAAAGAGGATCGATTTCAGATACTTATGAATGATCAGGTAATAATGCTAAACCTTTTCCCATGACTTTATACTCTTTTCAAGTAGAACCAATGTGAGTTTATGTAAACTACTTCAATGTATATTCAGGGGTTTCAGATATAATCGTCCATTTATTCAGGGGATAGCACTCACTGGGTTTCAAACTTACGCCTCAAGATTAGAGAATGTTAGTGTTTTCTTGTCTGTTTTCTCAAATAAAATAGTGTTGGTTTCATCTGTTTGATATAGATTTTGTTCTCTTATTCATTATTGATGTGTAACTTTCAGGAATATAACTTCGTGTGAGCCTGGTGATGTATCTATTAAGGAGTTGGTAAAGCCTAACGAGGCTTGTATAAGGTAAGCATTTTCAAGGAGTTAGAAATTTCTTAGAATATTGGCAAAAGATAATAAAGACTGTGTTTTCTAGAATTTAGTGTCGTATAACATTCTTTTGATTGAACCTCCAGTTTAGGACTAACAACGCTTAATGATGTCAATGACATATTAGAAGTCTTGTGAATATTAGATGTCAATGATCAGTTCTCGTTGAGGTAATTTGATTTTACGGTACCATATTACAAAAAACGTCAATCAAGTGATCTGTAAAGGAGGGTTTAGTATAACGTCGGAACCCTTGAAGATAAACCAAAATCAGATAAATTTTGACATTTTTTTTTATGATTGCTAAAGTGTTAAATGTTTTACAGATAGAGCTTCGTATGACAGTGCATCACCAAAACTTAGATTCGATTATCAGATATTGCGTTATCGTGGCCATAGCAACTTACAACACTCAAAGATGCTAGTGACAGATTACAAGGCTTGTGGATATGGGAAAGCCAAGCATATTTTCTTTATGGCCATGTTAAGGTAAATTGATTTCACGGAACCATGTTTCTTTAGTATTTTTCTTTTCTGCTCTCTGCGTATATAATCGTCATAAGTTTCATGGTTTCATGTGAAATTTATCTGTGGTTTGAAAATTTGACCAGGTTAAAGCTCGAGTGTTTACTAACTCTTACATAATGCTTTGATTCTATCTCTATTTTAGGACTAACAACATTAAAAGATATCACTGAAAAATTAAAAGTTTCGTCGATATGGGAGTGCAAGCATTTCCTTGCTAAGGTAAAATTTGATTTCACGGATTTTTCTTGCTATAAGTTTCATGGATTTCAATGGATTTATCTGTCGTTTTAATCTTTTGCATTACTTTGGCCAGGTTAAAATGTAAGCAACCTCCTCCTATGTGAGTATGATATGTTTTATTTCTTGGCTAATAATTTAATTCTATTAACTATATATTGTGAATATATATTTTTGAAAACACATATTTGTTCAAAGTAATAACAATTTCCTATGTTCTTGTAGGAGCAGCATTAGATTTGGAGATCATATAGGGTAGTCGAGAAGAAGTGACTTTTGGATGACGTAACTGAGTTACGGTAAACTTAACACAAAAAAAAACACAAAACACAACCAAAACTACAAAAACATTAAACAAAAAGAAATACACACAAAAAGGAAATACACAAATTAAATTAAAAAGATGCATTTATAAACTCAATTAAGTCACGATCACATAAACTCCACTATTTCACGATCACATAAACTTCGCTACTTAACGATCACATAAACTCCCCTATTTCACAATCTAATAAACTCCACAAATTCATGTTCACATAAATTCCACAACTTCACAATCACACAAAAAACTTAACACAAAAAACACAAAACACAACCAAAACTACAAAAACATTAAACAAAAAGCAATACACACAAAAAAGAAATACACTAATACACTAATACAATTAAAAAAGATACATTTATAAACTCAATTATGTCACGATCACATAAACTCCACTACTTCACTATCACATAAACTTCACTACTTAACGATCACATAAACTCCACACTTTCACGTTCACATAAATTCCGCAACTTCACGTTCACACAAACTCCATAGTTTCACGATCACGAAAATTCCACAATTTCACGATCACAAAAACTCCACAAATTCACGATTTTCCACAACTTCACGATCACATAAAATCCACAATTTCACCATCGCATAAACTCCACAACATCATGATCACACAAACTCCACAATTTTACGGTCCTCCACAATTTCACGATCACATAAACTTCACAATTTTACGATCACACAAACTCCACAATTTCAAAATCACATAAAATCCACAATTTCACGATCACATAAGTTCCCTCACATAAACTCCACAATTTCACGATCACATAAACTCCATAATTTCACGATCACACAAACTACACAATTTCACGATTCTCCACAACTTCACGTAAACTTCACAACTTCATGATCACACAAACTTCACGATCCTCCACAATTTCACGATCACATAAACTCCACAATTTCACGATCACATAAACTCCACTATTTCAGTTCACAAAACCTCAACAACGTCATGGTCCCATAAAATCCACAATTTCACCTTCACATAAATTACATAGCGCCACGATCACGTAGAGTTTGCTTCCCCTTGCAACAGTTTCAATTTAGATTATTATTATTATTTTTTTATTTTTTATTTTTTATGAGCATAGGTGACTTGTATAATTGTGTGACTCTATTCTTGTTTAGATATCTACATTCTTGTAATATTATATTGTTATCAATTATTACAGTGGTTATATATTTTCTTTAGTTTCTAAAGTATATTTCTGTCATTTTGAATAATTCTTATTTTATTTTCATCTTAATAATATGGTAGTACCATTGGAATTCAAATTCCAAAAGATATGGATCACATGTTAAAGAATCAGGGTAATTTAGTAAATATGAAAAGAATTTAGTATAGCAAGAGTATAAATAAAGTTACATTAATGTTCACATTTAGCAAGGAAATTTTGCTGTCATATACTTCGATTACTTACACTCATGTTCATTGTTAACCTTTAAAAAATAAAAATGCTACTAGTTATTATGCAGGTAATTTTAAGATTAAAAATCTAATTTTGATATTTTGAATTTATTAAAAGTAGTAACGAATCGGGATACCCCTTAGTATATTATTATTTGGTAGATAGATAGATTAAATATTACATAAAAACTTATAAAACACTAAACATCTTATAAAATGGAAAAAAAAAATCTTAGAGAACAATCTAAAACCTAATAATACAAAGAGGATAATAACTGGCTACGTATATATAAAAGGAACGAAGTTTGAGAAACAAGCCTAGTTTGATAAAAAAAAAATTAAGTTACTAATTACATTAATTTTTTTTGGTAAAACTAATTACATTAATTTCTTTGTACTAAACAGTACATTTCCCGGATTTTCTGTTCCTCCTGGAGACTAAAAACTCCAGTGGTTATGTGGTGAACTTACAACGCTCTCTTGGTTATGATCATGCTTATATTGTTGATCCAGTTGGGTTGAGTGGAGGCTTGGCGTTGTTTTGGAAGGCATCTTATGAAGTTGAAGTTTTAAGTGCTAGTTCAAGGATAATTGATGTAAAAGTTAAACTTGGTTCTCTTCTTTTCTTTATATCATGTGTTTATGGAGATCCGGTTTCACATTTACGACAAGTTGTTTGGGATTTTTTAATAGACATTGCTGTCTCCAGAGATGATCCATGGTTAGTGATTGGAGACTTAAATGAGATCATGGACAATTCTGAAAAACTTGGAGGGCCGGCACGGGCGGAATCATCGTTTTTTCCTTTTAGGAATATGATCAATGATTGCCGTCTACGGGAGGTCCCAAGTATTGGTAATAAGTTTTCATGGTCTGGAGAGTGAAACAAGATGTGGATTCAATGCCGCTTAGATACCTAATGGGGCTTGGTTTCAACTCTTTCCACGGGCGCAAATGGAATATTTAGAGAGAGTTGGTTCTGATCATCTTCCTTTGTTCCTCCGGTTTGTTAACGAAAACATGTCACGCCGGGGTCGTTTTTTATTTAATAAACGCTGGATATCCAAGAATGGATTTGCTGAGGTAATTAGGGACGGCTGGTCAAGGGGAACTGAAGTAGGCCAAACATCTCTAATGCAACGGATTGCAAATTGTAGGAAATCAATCTCGGCCTGGAAGAAAGAGACGAATCAAAATTCGAAGGTTCGCATAACGGAACTCCGTGAGTTAGTAGATGTGGAAAGCTCGAAGTTCCAGCCGGATTTTGATGTTCTAAAAGCTTTACATTGGGAGTTGTCTGAAGCTTATCGGGAAGAAGAGTTGTTTTGGAAGCAACAAAGCAAAGAAAGGTGGCTACAAGAAGGAGATTGTAACACAAAATTTTTCCATGGCAGCGTACAGCAAAGACGTGTACAAAACCGGATTTTATCACTGTTTGATGCCACTGGAATTGAACAATTTTCATAAGCTTCTAAAGGCGAGGTGGCTGTTGAGTATTTCCGGAAATTGTTTACAAGCTCTGAACCATCTTATGTCTCAGAAGCCTTGGATGGTATGTCTCCGAGGGTTACAAGTGTAATGAATGTGGAGCTTACTAAACCTGTTTCGGGAGAAGAAATCCGGATTGCTGCTCTCGGTATTAAAGGGGAAAGTACCCCGGGAGCTGATGGGATGTCGGGGCATTTTTACCACAAGTATTGGAGTATTGTTGGTCCACAAGTAGTGATGGAGGTACAACAATTCTTTGAAACTGGTTCCCTACCCTCAGAATGGAATTTTACACAGTTATGTTTACTCCCTAAGAAGCCTAATCCGTCACTCATGACTGATCTCCGGCCTATAAGTCTTTGTTCGGTGGTGTATAAAATTGTTTCTAAAGTTCTATGCAACCGTTTAAAGAAGTTTCTACCGGAAATAGTATCGGATACCCAAGGAGCTTTTGTGTCGGGGAGATTAATATCTGATAATATTCTTCTAGCTCATGAGATGGTCCATGCCCTTAAGACAAATCCGCGTTGCAATGAAGATTTTATGGCCATCAAAACAGACATGTCAAAAGCATATGATAGAGTCGAATGGGATTTTTTAGAAGAATTATTAATCCGGCTGGGGTTTGACATCAAATGGGTTACATGGGTAATGAGCTGTGTGCGGTCGGTCTCTTACTCCGTTCTCATCAATGGATCGTCATATGGTTTTTTCAAACCAGAACGGGGTATTCGTCAAGGTGACCCTTTGTCGCCATTTCTTTTCATCTTATGTGCGGAAGCCTTGGTACATATTATGAATCGTGCTGAAGTAGCGGGGAGATTGACGGGGATGAGGCTAACTCCGGAATGCCCTTCGGTTCAACATCTTCTTTTTGCGGATGATAGTTTGTTTCTTTGTAGAGCAACACTTTCGGAGTGCTCGGAGTTTCTTCGTTGTTTACAGCTTTATGGGAGAGCTTCGGGACAAGAAATAAATTTCCAGAAGTCATCCTTGACATTTGGTAAGAAGATGGATCCGATTATGCGAAGATTGATTAGCTCACTGTCGGGAATCACTCAAGAGGGAGGAGCTGGAAAATATTTTGGTTTACCCGAATGCTTTAGTGGTTCGAAAACCGAGTTGTTGAGTTACATCAATGACCGTTTAAAGGCAATACTAAGTTGTTGGCATGAGAAGACATTGTCCCTTGGGGGCAAGGAGGTGTTGTTAAAATCAGTAGCCATGTCTCTCCCGGTTTATGTGATGTCATGTTTCCGCTTATCTAAACACCAATGCAAGCAAATAAATAGTGCTATGTCTAGTTTTTGGTGGAATGCGTGTGATGATAAACAAAAGATGCATTGGGTCTCTTGGGAGAAACTATGTCAATCTAAACAACGGGGAGGCCTTGGTTTCAGAGATATAGGCCAGTTCAACCAAGCACTATTAGCTAAACAAGCATGGAGGTTGACAAATTTGCCTAGTTCTTTACTAGCTCGGGTTTATAAGGCTAAATACTTTGCGGATAAAACGTTCTTTGAAGCAAAGATTGGATACAGACCATCCTATGCTTGGCGGAGCATCATTTTTGGTCGCGAACTACTTGAGAAAGGTTTATTAAAGTCGGTGGGTAATGGAGCTACGACTTCAGTTTGGCTCGACAAGTGGATCTTCGATGGCTCTCCGAGAAGACCTTACAACAAGGAGACGATGATGGATCTTAATCTAAAGGTTGCAGCTCTTATAACTTCACAAGGTGAGTGGGATTGTCAACTCTTGAATGAGTTTTTTCTACCTTGTGATGTTAACAAGATTCGCTCCTTTCCACCTGCAACTGCGTTTTCTGATCGGGTAATTTGGGCTTTCACGCGAGACGGGAACTACTCTGTTAAAAGCGGATATTGGTTATTGTCTCATGATCGTGAGTTGCTGGAGCAGATTTCGACGACTCAGCAACAAAGTAATGAACTAAAAGAGAAAGTTTGGGCTTTAAAGACTCAGCCAAAAATCAAGCTCTTCATTTGGCGTGTTCTTTCCGGAGCATTAGCAGTTAGTGAGTGCCTTAGAAGACATGGAATCAATACAAATCCATTGTGTCAAGTTTGCAAGATAGATGAGGAGACTGTCTCTCATGTGTTGTTTGAATGTGATATGGCTATACAAGTGTGGACTGTGAGTGGACTACCAATTCCTCCTCAAGGCTTTTCATCGGAACTCATGGAGAATATCAATTATGTATTAGCTTTGATGGCAAGGACTGAGATTACAGAGAAATTACGAACAATGGTGCCATGGTTGTTATGGGAGATTTGGAAAGCTCGGAATGGTGTTGTGTTTTCCCAACAAGCTTTCAACCCTCACATCATTTTGGTCAAGGCAATGAACGACATGGAGGAATGGTGTACTCAGCAGGGCAACCGTGATTTGGAAGCTCGGAATAGAGTACAGGACATGGGAGTAACATCGAGATTCTGGCAGCCACCAGCCCAAGGATTTAGCAAATGTAATATACATTCTTCTTGGGTAAACGACTCGTCTCATTGTGGTGGTGCTTGGGTGCTACGGAATCATCTTGGTGATGTCCTTTTCCATGCGAGAGATGCATTCATACCTTGTTCTAACCGAATTGTGGCTGAGCTGAAATGTATTCTTTGGAGCCTATCAAGTCTACAGGATATACATTGTGACATCTGTGAGATTTGGTTAGACTGCAATGCAGCTTGGGAAGCTCTCAAGAATCCACCTCTATGGCCCAAGTATCGGGCCATTCTATCCAAGATTGGACAAGTAATACGGGTGATGAGAAAGGTTTCCTTTCACCTTTCTTCACCGAAAGCTAATTTATTGGCTAGGGAGATTGCTTGTAGTGTAACACGGGATGGGAGGCTGACTTCTTATATGGCTTTAGGAGGACCGTCGTGGTTACAAGACCGCATTGAACGCGACAGAAGACCGGTTTTTTAATTTCATCATATGTTTTATCATATTTCATTATTGTATTGAACCATTCCTTCTTATTAATCAAATTATTCAGCGTTAAAAAAAAAACAGTACAATCGTCGTTGACGAATATTAAGAGTACAAATTCTTATGAAAAAGATAGATAAATCAGAAGAGAAGAAACCTGGAAACTATTTGTGATCCCCTTATTGATATAATAGTAAGAGCAAACTATTTTTGTTATTTTCTCATGATACATATATAGATATTAAGGCATAAATACAATTTGTTTTTCTTCCCGAATGATCAAGTTTGATAACAAATTCGCCTAGGAAAAGAATTGTCTACAAAACAAAAGAATCCAAAAAAAAAAAATCAATCAAAGCATATAACAGATAACATTATCAAAGCATCATTTTACTTTTCTGACTAAAAAATGTGATAATAAGGAACATATAAAACATATATATATATATCTCTAGATAATACTTGATATTTGGGTATGAGGGAAATAACATTTTACCTGGTATATAGTGTGTTACTGCTTAGAGCCTCATTCGTCATAGGTCGCTCGGAATGTAATAGAAGGAATGTGCAAGACTTTGTAGTAATCTTCACCACCTTCCAGAAATTGCTCCTCCCAATGCTTGTCCATGTTTAGATGATTTAAGGAAGAGATGAATAGCAGCTCAGCTGGAACCTTCTTTAACTTTTGACAACCCCAAATAGACACAGTATGAATCATGGGCATCGAACCTTCTTCTACTATCCACTCTTCCAATCTATCTAATCCAGATAATCTAAGCTTGTGCAATCGAGGAAATCCACCTCCCGAGCAAACCATTCTCTTCCCACAAAAAGAATTATAAATTAACTTGACCTCATATAAGTGAAGCAGCTTCTCTAGACTTGGCATCGGATCGTCCACCAAACGACAACCGTCTAAAGATATGGTGGTAAGGTTAGAAGGGAAGTGTTGTTTTCTAGGAAGCTTTGGCATATACATACACAATCTCAGCTTTTTGAGATGAACAAAATCCAATACAAGTCCCTCCATGATGTTAGACCTGTGATCATCTATCTCAAGATTTTCCAAGTGTCTCAGTCCACCTATTGACGCATATAGAGGTTTAAGAGTAGTATCACTAGTTAAAGTTATTGCAAGACTCCTCAACCTGACCATACCACGAAGATCATTTACGCTGCTGGTCTCTGTTGTAAATTCTTCCAAGGTCTCCAAGTTTACTAGCTTACTCAATTCCAACTTTGTATCCTTATGCATAAGAGTTGGTAATGCAAGATATCTTAACTCTTGCATCCCCATCAAGACATTTGGTACAAATATAGGTTCCATGTGTCCCATATATACATTGATATTTAAATAGATCAACAACATTAGGTTTCCCAGAGAAGAAGGTAGACGAGATACCTTAGCCTCTTTTAAGCTTAAAAATTTTAAGTGGATGAGCTTTCCAATGCCATCAGGTAACTTCCCTCCTTGAAACTCGACTTTGTAGAGATCTAAAACCCTCAGAAGTTCTAACTTTTTAAAGCTTGAACCTGATAGCATCCAACTTTCTCCATAGCAATCCAAGACAATAAGAAGAGATCGAAGTTTAAAACTATTTATGTCTCTCTCAACATGTAATTTAGTAGGATACTGGCAGACAAGTCTGCGAGATCTACAAAGAGATTGAGAGCCTATGGTCTGGGAGCAGGTACCGGCAATGTGTAGGAAGTTCTCTTCTTTGGCTTTAACTAAACAAAGTTCTCTCATTGTGTCATGCAAATGACAAGTTTCAAACCTCAAAGTCCTATTATCTCTTTCAGAAATAACCATATTCCTCCTCACCAACTCGTCTATGTAGCTGTCTCCAATATCTCGAATGGTCTCTCCATCGAAATTCTTAGGTTTGAGTATTCCTTCTGCTGCCCAATAGTAAGCCAAACTAGACACATCTATTTCATCATCTTCTGGAAAATGGGCCAGGTAGAGGAAGCAATGCTTCAAATAACTTGGCAACTCTGCAAAACTCATACATAGTACATGGTAAACGGAACTGTTGTTACCATCAATTAAATTAATTCTTCCCATGCTACGAGATCCAATATCCTCAAATACTCTTTTCCAGTCGAGCATTGTATATTTTGCAGCTAAAAAACCTCCTAACACTTTGATAGCCAAAGGCAATCCACCACAATGTTTTATCATTTCCTTACCCATATCCTCCATTTCCTCATCAACCATAAATCCTGCACAACAATTTTTCCAAGTTAAGTAATACTACATTTTGTAATATAAATCAATAATACAGTTCAACCGGTTGTATGAAAAAATATCAAAACCAAGTAAGACGATTATGTTGTGATCATCCTAACAGAACATTTTTTATCATCAAATATATAATTTTTGTTATTAAATACTTACCGGAAGAATTTCTCTTTGGAAATGCTATTAGTTGAAGAAGTGTCCAACTTTCTTCAATACTCAGGCATTCTGATTCAAAGTTAATAAATGTTGTATCACCACGTACTGCAACACTCTTATTTCGAGAAGTAAGTAGCACCTTCCAACCTGTAGAAAAATATATTCCTTTCATAATATCCAAACACAAAGAGCATAATGAGTATGCATTATTTTCATCTCTTTCTATTAAGTATCATAGAGAAAGTTTACCTTTTTCCGGTGGAAATATTGGCTTGATTCGGTCCCAATCTTCTTCTCTCCATATGTCATCTAGCACAATCAATGATTTAGATGTCTCTAATAAACGGAATAGTTCGTCTTGGAGTGTTGATTCTGTCATCTCCAAAATTTTCTTTTCCTCTTCATTGGGTCTAAGATCTCGCAAGATTGTTTGCCACACAAGCTTTCGGGTAAATTCTTGTGAAACACACACCCATGCGAGTCCATCAAACTTTTTCTTAACCATCTCATGATTAAAAACAAGTTTAGCAAGGGTGGTTTTACCAACACCACCCATCCCAGTGATAGAAACAACTTGAATGTTATCTTTCTTGACAAAATATCCAACCAATTTCTTTACTTTTCTTCCAAGCCCAACAAGATTGCTTTCGTAGTCCCTAGCAAATTCTTGTCGCATCTCCCTTTGTCTTTCTTGTTGGGGATTTGAATGGCTGCTTCCATCAACAATCATCTGTTGTACTCCAAAACTTTTCATATCTCGAATAACATTGGTGATCCTCTTACTTATGCCTCCAATATTAGAAGCAAGTTCCCTACGATCGACGATAGTGAAAGCGAATTTTTTGACCCGCTTTCTGAATCCACTTGTTTTTCCTAATTCTTCATTCAAAAGAAAAGTTTCAATGATATCCTCAGCATCATAGATAATTTCCTTGATCTCGTCAACGCAGTTTTTCACCACCGCGCTTGTATGTTTCTTTTCATCTGCATCTTTTAGAAAACAGCTTAACAAACTTAGATCACGTTTTAGGTCAGTAACTTGATCATCAACTCCGTGAAATTGCTCGTATTCTTGGGATAATAGGTCCCAAAGCTTTTGTACTCCGAATGATACAAGTTCCCTAGCCATAATGACTCCTGCTTAAGAAATGTTATAAGGAATCAAGCTACGTACTATTGAAGAACATCGTAAAGAGTAAAACAGAAGGATGGTGTTTCAAGTTTACAATCAAATCTTTAAAGGTGATGAGGAATTTTATGCTCACAGAGATCAACGATAAAGCATTAATATTGCATCTAAAATTACTTTGTACGATGAACTAGACCACAAACTAAATTCATAGTTTTAATTGTAACGTGCAAGTGTTATCAATTATGTTCGAACAAAGGACATTAACATTCAAGATTGTAAAATGACTAACCTCTTGAATGTGCCAAGGAACTCTCGGTCGTCGGCTTTAGGAAGAAGATTGATTGTTGTTCTTTAGTTATTAACTCTCAAATTATGTTATGTGAATCAGCGATTATTCAAATATTAATAAGAAGACTGTGCAAAACAATTTGCAAATAAAATGAGATCGTGCAAAGTGCTGAGCAATTGACAAAATGAAATAAGACAAAAGTAAAATAAATATATGCACGATATAACTTTGGTATAATATAGGGGAAAAAAACAAGAGGACACATCTTCATGACTTGGTTTGTGTTTACCAACTTGTATAGATTGGGTTGACTCTTGAATACAAGAAAACCATGTTGCCCACTAGGATAAATAGATAACAATGCAGTTTCCAATTAACAACAGCTCACCAACATTACATAAAAAAAATAATAATAATAACGAATTCTTGTAACACTATCCGTTATAAATTATCCAAATTATATCTACTCTTTGGAAAACAATTACTAGAAGTCTAGAGTCAGTCAACTCTTTTGTAAAAAGGCTATTAACCATGTTTTTATAATAATCACATATATATATTCTTAAAGATATGTGACCATAAAAATTAGAAAAGCATAAATATACAAAGAAATTCATGTTTCAAGTTCAACCAAGTGAGGAATGGTGCTGCGAAAAAAAAGAAAAGTCACTGAGGATTTGCACTTTCAACTTCTTTTTTGACGAAACCTTAACCACTGTTGGCATCTCCGCCACTAACAATGGTAGTCCGCACCAGAATATGACAATTTTCCAACGGCACTTTTAAATTTTTTTGTATTCATATATTTCAAAACTCATTATACATTACCATTTACTCACTTTTTATGCTACTATTCTATCTAAATTCATTATTTAAATATATGATTAATCTTAATTGACCGTACGGTACTATAACGACAAAAAAAATAACATATTCCAATCCGACTACTATTCTGTCTTTTTTTTTGGACAAATACTACTATTCTATCTAAATTCATGGTTTTGTCCAAAAAAATTAAAAAGGTGTTTTGGTCCAAATTTGCTTGTTTCTTTTTGTGGCGCGCTTGCTCGTCTTTCCTTTAAATAGAAGATAATACAAGGAATTACAATTCATACACACAACAAAATTTAAAAGTTTAATCTGGAAGGCAAAATTCTGAATATATTGAGCCACTACGAGAAAAAGAGATGTGGACGATGTTGTTGACAAGCTGTTCAACATTAATACAAACCTCAAAGTACATGTAATAGTTGAATATGTTATTTTTTCATAAACAGTCCAAAGAACAAATAACACTTGTCCTAGGCTGTGTGTTGCGATTATCTCTGGAAAGCATTGAGAATGTATCTTGTTTGTAGATGATAGAGTCTGTGTAAGGATCTACCTCACACCAATTGTTTCCAATGTATCTGAAAACAGTCCTAGTCGAAACTTGTTTATAGTTGATAGAGTCTTTGCAGCGGTAATAAAAACTGTCGCAAGTTGGTCGAGTGTTACTACTGTTGCGAAATACACTGAGGAAAAGATCTTTTTCATAAAACGAGGAACCGGGCTTCATACAAACAGAGGATCCAAATATGAATTGGAGGTGGATGGTGGTGCAACATTTGTTGCATACGTAGAACCATTTTGTTGCATCTAATTTCTTCTCACACATCTCACACCAGTGTGTGTCATCCATGGTTTCTCCGTAGCAGAGAGTGAGTGGATGCTCATCATATTTGTAGTTGATCTCATCTGGAATGGTAGTGCATTCATAACACATAGAAAATTCACATACACTACACTGTAAGTAAGATTTTGAACATCTTTTATTGCAACCCTTGCAAATGATCTCTTTTTTGCCGCTATAAGATGTGCATATGAAAAGGGGATGTTCATGACTTTTATGGGTAAATGATATTAATCTAACTTTATGATTTCTATCATGAAATCTAAATCCCAAAGATCATCTAGATTTAATTTAATTCAACCATGAACAGTTTCTTATGAAAGAAGAAACACTAACCTTGATCCATTGCTTGATTGGGTTTGATGATGGATTCAAGTCTTCTTCACAGATTGATTTCTTCTTCCCTTACTCCTTATTGCTTTCCTGTGATCTTTGATGAAGAAGATCACTAATCTCTTTTGTTGTTTTTAATCAGTGGTGTTTTCCCTCTCAATGAGAACAACGACCGTAGAGAGTCACTTTTCAACACCACACATATATATACATGTATATTGCATCTTTCCAGAGAGTTGTGTTGGTTTATAATAACCACCTCTTTAATAATGCATAAATATAATATATACAATAATATATATGACTTATATAATATAGTTAAGGCAAGGGAAGAGGGTTATCAATACACCCGAATTCTAATTCATTAATCGAAACCGATTCATCACGGTGTCGTCCCTAATATTAGAATCCATAAGATTAATATGAATTTGAACTTCATAAATAAACCAGAAGACACACAAGCCACACTTAATATAAAATATTCTTACATTCTCCCACTTGGCCTTTGTGTCTAATTAATAGTTTATTAACTTTAATGCGCACTTTAATATCAAACTCATTTGATCTTTAATTATTTAAATAAAATTAAAACTGATCGAATCATGGCGGTCACACGTCATTGAGCGACATGTTCCCTTCCATGTATCACAAACCAATTCTAATTCTATATTGTTCTTTTATATTGAGAAGAACCTTAATTCTCAAAATACTCATGTTATCTATAAACCGTAAATGTGTACACATACTTTAATGATAACGTCTTTAATTAAAAGAAACATAACTTTTAGTGAATTCATAGTGTCACTCACATAATAAGCATTCTATAATCAAAACAGCAAAGACTTATCGATAACACCCATACGCTCTACATGGCCAACGAACGCCATGGGTGCTAATCCCTTGGTTAACGGATCTGCGACCATCATCTCCGTCCTTATATGCTCAAAAGACACTCTATGTTTCTTAACTTCTTCTTTGACAGACAAATACTTTATCTCCATGTGTTTAGCACCTTTCGAGTACTTGTCATTCTTTGAAAAGAAGACAGCTGCAGAATTATCACAGTAAATTCTCAGCGGCTTCTCTATGGTGTCGACAATTCGAAGCCCTGAGATAAAGTTCCGCAACCACAACGCGTGAACTGTGGCCTCAAAGCATGCCACAAATTCAGCCTCCATAGTGGAAGAAGCAATAATAGACTGCTTCCCACTTTTCCACGATATTGCTCCTCCAGCTAATAGGAACAAATATCCAAACGTCGATTTTCTGCTATCAACGCATCCGGCATAGTCTGAATCTGTATATCCAATAACCTCAAGATGATCAGATCTCCTGTAT